GGGCCCAAAACTGAACCAATTAAGCCTAACCTTGACCCCAATGACTTTAATTATGAAATCCACGTGGCCTATATTCCTCTCAAATGAACCCAAAACTATTAGCCCAAAATTTGAGGTATTACAAATTTCCCATCCTTAGAAGAAATTTCGTCCTGAAAATTTACTTGGATCGATGAACGATCTATCCTTAGGTCAACCACTTAAAAACCTCAAAGCACCTAAACCCATATTAACCTGATCCTCACAAAAGAAGTCTCTGCAACATGACTTGCCACTCAAAGAATCACAAATTAATCTAAACCCCCTTTTCTTTTAGGGTGCTACTTACATCAAATCTTAAGCGAAAACCCTCAAGAAGAGTAAAACCATCGAGTCTTACTCTAGTTTTCTTAAAATTGAATATATAGAACATTTTGCAAAGATAACGTTACTCCATGTCTCAACTGCTATCAATAAACCCTCCACTATCTAACCTTTCTCAATCGAGTTAACTTACTGCATAACCTGATAACCTCTTTTACCTACTAAACATAGGTAACTCATTATGATACATGTTGATATCTTACGGTACTTGCTAACATAGTCTCAATATCGATTACTGAATATATGACGACAATTCTCGGCTAACATCAATCTCTCTGCTACCTGACTGATTCTCATTCGCCTTGTGGTTCACATACGTGCTACTTACCTGATCACACATCTAAGGTACTCAACTAAAAATTGACCACTTGCCTAGTTTAAAACTTGCAACATCTGGCTCTCCCGGAGAGCACACCGTACAAAACAAAAATCTCACGCGACCTTACTCTAACTTAATGATTCTATGATTATATGTCTTGCATTCACTATCACTTACAACCTTTGAGTTATCCGATGATGACTAACACCGGTCAAATGATGCTTAACATACTAAATCTCTTTAAGTCTCAAGCATTAAAATCTACGATATTACACTACACTGAATATTTTTGTGTTGTACATAGCTCGTGCTCATATACTAACATAAACACATCTTGACGAGCCCTAGGTCCCTTAGCTAAATCACTTACTATTCATGCATGAATGTATTCTGATGAAATCGGAGGGGTCCTGCAGCTCGAGACTCGTAACTCACTATCTTACCTATAATACATTTAGTACTTATGTTGGGATTTCAGAACTACTGCATCGGAACATATACCCTATTAACTTACTCATCGGGAGTACTTGGGGCATCTACGCTCAGTTAGAAATTAGTTCCTTGACACTAATTGAGATATATCCTAATGTTTCTGACAATAAGGTGATCGACATACTGGCTAGGCGACTTGGGAATTCTTAACACTCTCATGGAGATCCCTACCTCTAAGACTAAACTTGAGATTACTAAATCTCTATGGGATCGATAAAAAAATCCTCTACAAGCAATGCAAATCATCCTTAAAGCCTTACTTCTAAGCTTGACAATCCACACCGGTATTCCCTTGAGGAACACACAAGGGGTGGATGATTTTGCAGTTCACTAATTTTTTTGAGTTGGCCCTTAACTCAACAAGGAGTAACCCCTTAATCTCCTACCGCTGGACCCAAAATCTTGAGATCATGGCAATGCTTATGATAATAAACTCCCTTAGGTCAACTATCGAGTCATACCTAATTCCTAAAAGAATAGCTAAGGTAAGCCCGTCTATTCCACTAAAACCAACCGACTAGGCAGTTTCATACTCATATTCAGATCCTCTTCACGTATTGATAAATGCATCACAAGGCTCACATCAAAGGAATATGGACTAATGCTTCCAATTGATCCACATGGACAAGCCTTGGAAAAGAAGACCAGTAGAGTAGTAGACTTGTGACTACTTTTTGAATGGGATCCTAATGTCATTTAGTCGACGGTCTTCTAGAGTTACGACTGGCTGCCTCTTAGATTTCCAATGGTTATTGAATAACATCAATATGATATCGAGAACTCATGATATAACCAATTTAGTGAATACAACAGTGCAGAAATCCCTATACGAGATTTTTTAAATATTACAAAATTTCAATATTTTATTGATTATTTGTAATATAATCTAATATAGGCTAATGCATTATCTTTTAGGATTATATTTATTATTTTTTAGGAATTAAGATAGTTTTAAAATAATTATCTTTAGTTTATTCTTATTAGGAATTAGGATAATATTGTTATTATTATTTTCAAGCACTAGTCATACTACAACAACAACTCCTTCACCCTATATAAAGGATACTCCTCCCATCATTGTAATCATTAAGTTTTATTCTTTTTATTCAATACAACGAGGGATCATTTTTGCAAGAGTTGACTGCCTTATGCCTTTGAAGCTTCTTTTTCTTTTAGTTCTAAGTTCTTGAGAGAGAGATCTTCACACTTCAGTTTTCCTATTCATTGCGATTAGGATGGCTGATTAGAGCCATTTATTGAGTTTGCCTTTTCATCTCGACTAGGAGGCTTCAATAAGAAAATTATCCATCTATTTTCATCTTCCATAACTCCATTTTTATCACCAAATCACCATTATCGCCCATCACCGCCAAAACCCTAATTTTGGCTAAGTATCCATATCTTACTATATTCTTTGTCTTTTTTGTTTTCTTATTATATCTTTATTATCTTAATCTTATTTTCTTTGATCAATTTTCAGCAACCCTAAATCCCTTAAAACAATAATTATCATCCCCCTTCAATTCTCTTTTCCATCTCGTTCTTTTATAGAGTCTAAAGCTTTCTAGGTTTGATTCTCGATGAGAGCAACGTTCACTCATCCGCTGTTACTTCTCTATCACAAATACTTTTCCTGCCTAGCTCACTTAACACCACCTTGGGAATGCATGCACTTACGCCTAGTGAAGCCACATGAAATATTAAGATAACTGAAATCATACCTTTCATCTCATCTGCAATGTCAACATCCTAACCCTGCCTCTCTATAATCTGACAAGCGAGATCGTACAATGTCGAATCGAGAATAGGTCGACCCCCTTCTCTGCTCTCCTACCCGAGCATGAAACTAACACTTTTCTAGGTAGGTTCTTTACCTTGATGAGCTATTGAGATCACTCTCCTTGATCGAGATGATACATCACCATCCAACCTCAAGCAATATCTTGCCAGATACGTCAAGGATCCACATCTATAACACTTTTTAGAAAGCTTATAGTACATTCCTCGATATTTTTTCCACAATGCTCATACTCTGGATACCAAAAAACTCTATCAGATTCTCCAAAGATCATCATGGACGATGAAGCTGGTGGTTTACTACGAGACCTTACGTCTGACCTTTTACCCAATTGAAGTGATGAAGTTTACGTCACTCTTCTCTGCTCATGCAAACTTTTGGTCCTCTCTGTCACTGATTGCGATAGGCCTATTGGTATACAAGTCCTTATACTTAGGACACTGAACTCACCCAACAAACTTTTCCTCATGCTTTACACTCTTTCTATGGTCTTAGCTTACCATGACAACTCTGAAAATACCCTAGATGGGTCCTCCACCAAATGCGTATGAATCTCAATATGCGTATGAATCTCAATATGGAGTCCCTTAAGAAACCTCTTGCACCTTAAGGACTCAGTCGCAACTAACTCTGGAGCATACACTACAAGAAAATATACCTTTAATGACACTACAAGAAAATCTGAACGATTTATGACTTACAATAATGTGTCATATTTAATAGTCATAATAATTTTTTTTTTGTAAAAACACGGAGTACAATTTTAATTGTCATGTTTAAAAGTTGTATTTTAATTTTTCCCCATCCATTATTTTCATCTTTTCCCGCTCCTTCCCTCACACCGCTTGCTTCCCTATTTTTCTCTTTTTCTCTTTGCAACCTCCCACTGGTTTGGCCATTCATCGCAACGCAGACGAGGGAGTCAAAATTCAAGGTTCCACATGTATTCCTCGTTCTCTATTCTAACATTTGGGGTTTTGTTGATTTATATTTTGTCTGAAAATATTGAAAGTAAAGCAACTGCAAGATCGTCTTCTAAAGTTGTTGAATGTCGAGTTGATAGTATTTCATGTGCTGGTAGAGCCGGTGATGGAAATATAGATTTTAGTTATTGTAATAAGGATTTAGACTGTAATAATTCATCTCATAGTTCAGTTTCATTTTGTAGTTTAGGATCTGGAAAGGTGCCCTCTTCCCAGAAGCTAGACTTGTCAATTCCTTCTATGAAGGACGAAGGTTCTGGTAGTAGTTCAACTATGATCCAAATTCCATCTTCACATTCTGGAAGCAGCAAGAGTTCCGTTGGAGGCAGATCTGAGATTTCTCCCAAAATCCACCCAATTAGAAGAAGATATTGAGGGCAGTAGCGAGAACCCACTGGATAAAACTGGTAAAAGTTTGAAGGAAGATGAGTTAGATGAATATGTAAAGTTACCTGACAAGTAAGAGTCTCCTTTGTAAATAGTTTCTCTGATGAGGATTATGAATCTGATGTCTCAGAACATGATGTGAGCAATTTTATGTTTTTTTCTCTTTATGAGATGATGTATAAAGAAAGTGTGCACGCATGACTGATATGAGAGCTTCTTAGGCCTCACACTGTGGAAGTTGGCTTTTTAGCTTAATGTATTTGATTTGAGAGTAAAGATATTGAGAATATCATATTTTAATTGGTTTTCCATTTGCACTTGTAGTGCAGGTGCCATCCTAGGAGAATGTAAGTAGTGATTATGAAATTCTTGAAGTTGTGGCGCTAGGCAGATCCTTTACTCTTTTAGGTGTCGTTAAATGAATTTTTAATGGGTAATTAGTGCTTTAAAAATGAATAGGAGGTCTTTAAACTTGTCAAATGGTTTAAGATTATTAACTAGGTTCTATTATAATTATATACTTAAAATAGAAGAGTTCATTTTCTTTTTTACCTTGTAGGATCGGTACATTTGTTTTCTTTTTCTTTGTATTTCAGTGTCTTATGTCAATAAGTTCTTCTGATTTATCTTTTCTTGTTTCCTAAATTTTCTGGAACAGGTTTAAGGTACGCGATATTTGTGGGGATGCAGGACGAGAAGATTTGCTTGCTATATGTAGCAAGTGCACCGATGGTGCAGAACACACGTATGTGCACAAATCCCTTTAGTCATATGGTTGTTAGCAGGTTTTATTGGCATTTCTATTTAATTTTGTCTGTATCTATACTCAGTGGTGAGTTTTATGTTATTAATGCTATTGATCAGTTACTGTATGTGAGAACACGTATGTGCACAAATCCCTTTAGTCATATGGTTGTTAGCAGGTTTTATTGGCATTTCTATTTAATTTTGTCTGTATCTATACTCGGTGGTGAGTTTTATGTTATTAATGCTATTGATCAGTTACTGTATGTGAGAAATGCTTCGGAAAGTTTCTGAAGGAGATTAGCTCTGTGAAGAATGCAAGCTGGCTGAGGAAACTGAAAGCCAAAAGCAAGGTTAGTTTTCAAATAGAGAATAAAAATGACACTCATACAAGATCATGTGCTGACATCCTTTTGCGATTGAATTTTCAAGGTTTGGATGCTGAGGGGAAAACGGAAAATAAACTTATCTCAAGTACATGTATCTTAAGTAAGAGACATATTGAAAATCTAGAGGGTGCTTCAGCTCCAAAAAGGTAGGTTGATGGATTGGCAACCATTCTGGTAATGATATGCAGGAAGTTATACGCTCTCTGACTTCTGGTCCACAGCTACAAACACCAAAGGGTAAGTAAATTAATTTTGTTATCTTATCTAAAATTTTCCCTATGTTAATTTTAACATTGGCATACTGTTCTCATTGTTACAGGGAGCTTATTGAAATACAGTTCATTTAATACCTTAAATTCCAATTCTAAGGTGAAACTTGTGATGAGGTTGTTGTTCAGAAACGAGAAAGTTCTAGAGAACATGCATCACTTTATAGAGAGGAACCTGCTAGAATGATGGGCAAAGATTGTGGTTTATGTTGAGGTCATACTATACTAACAACCTTTTTAAATCCCTCGTACGCTAAAATGCCAGATCTATCAGTGAATGCAAAATTGGTAGTTATAACTCTGGGCCTGAGAGAGGATTCATTTTAACCAAGGTTTAGGATGACTTAATCCTGAAAAAATAGTTTCCTTGTCATATTTGTTTTGATTTGGTCATCTCTAATATTGCTTTTTAATATCACTTGTCAATAATTGTATACTGGAATAGTTTCTTATATTACCTACTTATTGAATGCGTATTGTCAATAATTTTCAGAGTACTACAAGTGTTCCACATGCCTCAAACTCAAGACTTTCACCGCTACCTCTGGAACCTGCCGGTTTCAGTTATGACCGTAGGGCAACAATTGATATTCCTCTTGATACAGCTTCAGGAGGATCACAAAATCAGGTTGGTAAAGAAATGTCTCTAAATTTCATTTACATTATTTGGTTAAGCCCTGAATCTCACTTTCCTAGTTTACTGTTTAAATGTAGGATTTAAACAAGAAAATCCAGGCTAAGGAAGCATAACTGAAAAGGCAGGAACATACATGTTGTATAATAGATTTTACAACATTGAATTCATTTGTGATCTACTGAATCATAGATTTACTTTTTCTCCCTCATTTCTCTTCCAAAGATGTATCATCGACCTATTTAGAATTTGATGTAATGAAAGCAAAAATTTATCTCAATAATCCCAATATCCTAGTATCATAAAATACTGTTAGGATACTTTATCAGGCTGTTGGTGGAATATCATGTGTTTCTCGATCTAGTTTAGTGTACTAAGTCATTCGGATGGTTTTAAGCTGCAAGTTCACATTCTTGCACATTTATTTCTCAAATAAATAGAATGAAAGATCATAGCATCCCTACAATTTCATTGGTCAACTTACTCCTTGCAGGAAGTGAGGCGGAAAGAAGAGGCAGTGGCAAGAGGTACCTTTCATTTTCCTTTATTTAACTAGTCTCAGTGATCACATTTCGTTTTGTTCTCAGCTTCAGTATTTGGTATAGATTACTCTATACTTTTTTTGCAAAAATTTTGACCTTATTTTATTTTTTTATGGACAAAACTACATTTCTGTCATTAACTACAGTTTCACTTCTCTGCTTTGCAGCTGGAATTATTGTGGAAGAGAAAAATTGGCCACCATTTTTTCCAATCATTCATCATGATATTGCCAGTGAAATTCCAATTCATCTACAAAGATTGCAGTATGTTGCATTTTTGACATTTTTTTAGGCATGCAAGTTTTTCCTATATTTTCCTTTTTAGGATTCTATGCATGGTACATCTAGGTATCATGCCTTCATTTGTACCATGCTAAATTGCATTGGCTAATTATTTGTACCATGCTTTTATACTGTTAGTTCTTTGCTAGATTGCATTGGGTAATTTTTTGTACCATGCTTTTATTTTGTTAACTCTTTAGTTGAAAATGGCTTTGATGTAAAGCCATGGATGAGAATTCAGTTATTGATGGTGATTCTATGCAGGATTGGTTCTATGCCTTTTGGGGAACATCATAGCCGTTACTACAACATGGATCAAAGGGGAAGGTTAATTTAGTTATATGCTTCCATGTCTTGTTTTTCTTCTTAATATAACATTGTGATTATGTTGTGTTTTCCTTATTATTGTTTAGGTGTTAGGATCTGGTTATTGTCTATCATCTATTTTGTACCAGGAGTACCAGGAGGCTATGTATTCCGGTATCGCCCACAGTTATCGAAACATTATATTATATTCTTTGATATATTTCATCAATTTTTATAGGGCAATGAAATTGTACACTGCTCAAAGTGGATCTAACAAAAGGGTTAGCATCAATTGGATCAATTGTTTTGGTGAGGACTTCGATCGATCATTCCTTATTTAAATTGCAGCTTTCATTTTGACTAATCGTTTATTGTAAATTATTTGTAGTGTCCTTGTCAGTCGGGAGGTACCGAGTGTGGATATTATGTTTGTAAGTTCATGAAAGAGATAGTCGAGAATGGACTTGAAGTGCCGGTCAATAAGAATGTAAGCAGACTTTTCTGATACACATCTGTCATATCATACAAACACATTAGTCATACAACTAACTTGAAGTAGGATGCTATTATTGGAAATTCAGCTATGATAACATCTTGTCTATTCATATTAATAAGAATTGTCAAGGTCTTTTTATTTCTGCTGAAAAACTTATAGTTAAATGTTATTCTAGACTTCTAGTTATCACCTTGTGAATTTAACGTAGTGGAAGATTACATTGATGGTAAACTTATTGTTAGTTGCTTCTATTGATAAATCCTGTTGTAAGTAATGAGTGAATTCTTGATTCTAATTACACGTGTTAAGCATGTCACAATCGGGACTAGTTTTCGATATATGAATCAATGTCTAAAGGAACAATTATATTGGGGAATAATGCCTCTCGTGGATAATGTGAGACACGTACGAGACTTAAAAGAGAAATTTGATTTTGTCAAGTACTCTAGATGTAAAAGGGTACAAGTAAACTGCTGAAGGTGGAATAATGAGGATCAATAAGATCTCTATTGGGGAAGAACATAAGGTTGATTCAGCTGTTCATGCCATATATTTTTTTATTGAAAGCATAGACATCGTTGATTTTCGCATCATATAGTGCATACTGTTATTATTCGTGGTTATATTGTTGTGAACAAAGTTGGTACTTTTTATAATGCTATTGATTTGATGACTTTACATAATGTTAGTATGTTTCAAAAAATGCATATGTAAAATTAGTTATTTTAATACTCTATAATAGTTAATTATATACTTCACTTGAAATAAGTATAAATTATATACTTATTTCATATTTTTTTTCTTAGGTTGGCGATGAGAAGGAAGAATACACGGATGATGACATTAATGATATTCGCAAAGAATGGGTATCTTATGTAGAAAATTTTATTATGACTTGATATTTTGTATCGACATATGATTAATACAATATTTTTGATAACTTAATGTGAATATATTGTATGCAAATGGATTGCTTATATATAATATGATACATAGATTTAATATTATGAGGCATTAAATGTAATTTTGTTTGATTATTTGTCAATCTACAATATACACACACACACACACACACATATATATATATAATTTACGAAAACAATCACGAATCACGAATGTGTGTCGTCTTTTTTAATGACGTGTGCTTCAATGATAAACAATGTAAGTCATACATGTGTCATAAATTTATGACACAAAAATGTATGTCAAGCAGATTTATGACGGGAGTTTCAATGACGCTCAATGTAAGTCATACATGCGTGTCATAAATTTATGACACATAAATGTGTGTCATCTTAATTTATGACGGGGGCTTCAATGATGCTCAATGCGCGTCATAAATGTGAATCATAAATGCGTGTCATCAATGTGCGTCATAGATTTATGATATACAATTGCGCGTCATCTAAGATTCATGTCGGTGGCTTCAACGACAGACATTTGTGTGTCATCCGCACCCATAGATGACGCGCAATGCGTCATTAAAGGGGTTTTTTCTAGTAGTGATAGCGACTCAATTGAGAAATAATCTCTCTCGTACTCGTACACTGAGCGATCTCCCTAAACTAGCTGAGAGAACTGCCTCCTCAGACCATGATCGAAACTATCGACCATCGAAAAAATCTACAACATAGATTGATAAAGAAGTGGTCATCTGGATTTCAGGCTTATACAAGTACTTTCAGCACCTAGGGGCATGTATTCACTGACATCTTACTCAAATTGACCACTGGGTCCTAGGATTGATTCAACCTGACGCTATGATACAATTAAATGTAACACTCAAAATTTGAATGGGCCTAAAGTGCCATATTGGGCTGCCAACATAACTCCTAATTTTCAAAGCTTGTTCATTTTCTTTTAAAGCATACTTAATGGTATCATACACCATGCAAAACAATTATAAAAACATTTTATAAATTGGAGCTCCGTGACACATAGCTTAAACCAAAATGATACAAACTCTTTCATATAAATGTAAATACATAAGTAAGGTCCTATGAATGCATATGCCCACTAAAGGTACATTATAGTACTATGAAGGAGATGATAGAAGTCTTACTGCGACGATGCTCCATGAACGACCCAAGCTAAAAATCTACAAACGAAAACATTTGAACCCTGAACTTACAAAGCCCAATAGTATAATCGCTAATCTAAAGTAGAATTAAGAGTTTCATAAACATAAGCATGCTAAATATATGATATTAAGCAATATGTAAACACATAATCTAGATCGAGTACTACTTATTTAAGATCTTAATGTTCAATTGTTGATGTAGGAATTTCATGCTTTCCTTAATTGTCTGCTAAGAACTTCGCCTTAAGTACACTTCTATTAAGTCTTTACCTAGACTAACTTTAATTGCTTTGCATTATCTACATGAGACTTTGACTCAACTAAGCATTATCTAAATACGACTCAACAAACGCCAAACACACAAACAAAGATAAGCATCATGGTATAGTCGGAGGGTCACAGAGCATCTCGGGACTCACACCCCATAGCCTACCTAGGGAGAGATCCAAAATTTTGCATCGGAAATAATACTCGACTAACCCACCCGTCGTGAATCTTAGGACCCACGTCGAAGTTAGCCACTGAAGTGTTTTGCGTACTTGATTAGACATATCCAGATATTCTAACAACCTGACTAACCTACCCCTCGTGAGTGCTAGGACTTTCGCCCAAGTTAGTCATGGAAGTGGCTAGCGCATTTTCTTAGATATAAATGGATATTATAACAAACAAGACACACACAAGATGATCGTTCTCTGTTGTATTGGACTGATGCAACTATACATGCATATCTAAGGGCCCCAAGGCCATGCAACACTGATATTGCTAACCCACTCCCATTGAGTGTTCGGGCCTCGCGTCCTAGTTAGCCACTAAAGTACCTCATACACTGAGAATGGATCACCAACGCAACTAAGGTAGCCTATCTAAACCTTAATATAGCTGGGCATACTAAAATGAACGTCACCCTCTCACTAGTTGCTATCTCGCTCGTTCCTCATCTAGAATATTACCCATGGAATTATTAGTCAGTTACTGCAGTTAGTTTTTAAGCTTCTTTATCTAGTCGTTCATTATTTAAGGGTATTTTAGTGATTCTCTATCTAGAAAGCTTTCTCTACGTGTTTCGTGATTCCATGATGATCTTTGTGGTTATTATTTATTGGTTGTACTATTTGCTAGATCGATACCTATCTCAGGTTCAACTCTGAGTAGTAACACTCTAGTCGCTCTTACTATGCTTTTCTTCAATTTACCTTCGAATCAGAGGTACGACTGTACATCCACCATTCGTTGTCATTCCTGTAGTTCATGAATATGCTATCACATAATCTAATAAATTCAGCATACAATTTATCTGTAAATCCTCAACAATGGTCCTTTATTCTTAGATATTCGCTATCTGCTCGACTAAAGAAACTTGAACGTGTTATGCATACTATGGTTACTTCGGTTGTAACCCACTCCTACGAGTGTATCCAAGTCCCTTTGGTCGTTTACGTCCCTCACAGACTAAGGTCTACCATTACGAATCATCCTTCACTCTTATGGGCCTTAAAGAGGTCAAATCTAACCATCTAAGGTGGATACTATCGATACTCTACTTGCAGTATCGATACCTTATGGTCAAGTATTGATACCCCTACGAGTATTGGTATTAAAAATTCATTCTACTGCTGCAATTTAGGCCCAATATTAATACTATTACCCTGAGCATCAATACTGTAGGGGAAATATCGATACTCTCCCTAGCATTATCATACTATAGTTGGAAATCCCTAATTTTCGTTCCAAATCATCCAGTATTGACATCGTTTATACACTATCGATACTCAAACCCAAAAATTTAGGCTCGACACCTAACAATCATCCTAAATGTCTTAGTTTGGTTCTTAATCAGGTGCTAAAGCTTTAGAATGTTACTTAGGGTCTTAAAGTGTCACAAAACACCTTCTTTATACTTAAAGAATTATTTAATCATAAAATCATATATAAACCCTAAAATTTTGAATACCCAGAATCTAGCAATTATTCATATTTATGAAAGATTTAACACTCTGAAGGATTCGAAATACACTACCTTGATGTTAGAAACCCAAAAAGAAGCTCCTTTATGTCACAATCACTCTCTACCAAGACTTGGATGATTTTCCACCCTTTCTCTAGCCAAGCATGAAAGACAATGATTTTCTTAACATAAATGCTTGTAAGAACACTAAGAACAAATTAGAAGCTGATGGAGACAAATAAGGAGCTCTTACCATCCACCTTGAAGCCATGGAGACTTGGAGAAGGAAAAAAAGAGAAAGGAAGAAGATTAAGAGAAAATGGGACAACATACGTCCAAATTGATATAAATCCCCAAATTTCAACTTTGAATTTTAGCAATGGTCTAATTACACATTTGGTCCATCACATCTTATAATTAGAAACCATTTTTCATGGACAATCGACCCAAAACTTAACCAGTTAAGTCAGACCTTAACCCAACGACTTTAATTATGAAATCCACGTGGTCTACATGACTCTTGGGTGAATTAGAAACTTCTAGCCCATAATTCCGGTTGTTTCAACTCTCTCCTCCTTGAAACAAATTTCGTCCTCAAAATTTACTTAGAACGAACAATGATATATCCATAGGTCAACCACTTAGAAACCTCGAAGCACCTAAACCCATATTAACATGATCCTCGCGAAAGAAGTTTCTCCAACAAGACTTGCCACTCGAAGACTCATAAACTGATCTAAACCCCTTTCTCTTTTAGGGTGCTAATTACATCAAACCTTAAGAAAAAACCCTCGAGAAACTTAGTACCATCGAGTCTTACTCTGGTTGTCCTAACACTGAATACTTAGAACGTTTTGTAAAGAGAACGTCATTCCACATCTCAACTACCATCTCTAAACCCTGCACTACCTAACCTTTCTCAATTGTGTTAACTTACTGTATAAC